TCTTCCAAGCTTCTCCGACGTTCTTCCAAACTGTTGCGGCGCACGGAGATTGCAGCCTTGGCTTCCACGTCGATCTCATCCCCTCGCGTCACACGGATGAACACCTCCTCCAGCGTCGTTACTGAGACACCATAGTGCTCCAAACCTAAAGCCTCCTGATGATTGTCCAAGCCTTCAAACAGCGCCTTGAAGTCTTCCGCACTGTTTCGAGGCAACTGAAAAGAGATCTCTGCACCTACACAGCTCAACACCTTCGCGTCTTGCACCTTGTTTTGCACGTACCGTTGAATGCGCGTCGCATCTGCCGCAGCTTTCTTCTCGATAGTCAGATTGTAGCCCACTCCGAAGTTGTTCTTCAGAAAGAGAGAAGAACCACATGCACGCAACTTGCCTTTCGCCATGATCGCGATACGATCGCCAAGCAGGTCAGCCTCTTCCAAGAAATGCGTCGTCAAAATGATTGTGCGGCCTTCCTTATACTTGCGAATTACATTCCAGACAAAGCGCCGAGAATACGCATCGATGCCTGACGTGGGCTCGTCCAAGATCACCACTTTGCTGCCTCCTATAAAAGCTATGCCGAGACTCAACTTTCGCTTCATGCCTCCCGATAAGTTCTTGCTCGCTACCTTGCGCTTCTCTGTCAAGCCGACCTCCGCAATCATGCTAGTCACTGCAGCTTGAACATCCGATCGTGGCATGCCCTTGAAATTCGCAAAAAGCGTCAGATGCTCCTCCACCGTCAGGTCCGCAAACAACACGTCGTGCTGCGGACACACTCCTAAGCTGTGCCGGATGCTTTGCATGTCTTGCGACACGTCCATGCCGTTGATGATCGCCACGCCTGATGTCGGAGCCGTCAGCCCCGTCAAAATACCAATCGTTGTTGACTTGCCTGCGCCATTGTGACCCAACAAAGCCGTGATCTGCCCGGAGTACATGGTCAGGTTCAGGTGGTCCACCGCATGCTTGGGCCCCGTGTTGGTCGAGAACGTCTTGCACATGTCCCGTATACAGATGCACTTCCCTTCTTTGATTTGCTGCGCCAAGGTGTCGGGCACACGCTCCACGTCGGGCCCCGATTCTTGCTTTAGCTCTCCGGAAGAGTTGCTTATTCCCTCGTGTAAGGGCCTTACCTCGCCTCTACCAATACCAAGGCAAGAGTTCCAGTATGATGGCATACACAAAAAATACGGTGGCAAACGCGTTCCAAACTCGTTCGGCCAAACCTTCTCAAAATACCAAAACAGAAAAGCGTACACAAAGACGTCCACCAGTAGCATGCCTAACGCATCCGAGAAAGCAAAGTTCCCGTTCGCGGAGGTTGCAAATGTGAACAGCGTCACGCCTTGCTGTGCGTCCTCATACTCAGTGAAAGCACTAATACCCAGTGCAAACGCCGCTGCAGGGTGCAAGGACGCCAGTAGCTTCACGCTGCGGCCCGAGGCAGGCTTCAAGGCCATCGTCAGAAAATAACCAGCGAAGTAAGGCATGATGCCCAAGCTCGCCGCCGTCTTGCTCTTGCTGAAAAATGTCGACATCCAAAACGCGAACGCCATCGTTGCAAAGAAGAAAAGCAGAAAGAACGCAAACACCAATCCCTTGTCCGAATGCTGAAAAAGTTTGCCCCCCACCAGCACGATCAGGGCCGCGATGATGGTAAAGGTCGTAGCAAAATGGAACACCCAGCTCGCATACAGTGCCGAGTCCGTCAAGGCCATCATTCGCATACCCTCCCGAATGCGAGCCTCTTTCTCAGTTACCAAACTCCGCACCACATTT